TATATATATATATATATAAGGTGCTCTGGTAGAGTAGTGGTTACGAGTCGGGATGCTAACCTCACAATCAGCAGTTGGAAACTTCCAGTCATTCCATGGGAGAAAGATGAGACTTTCTGCTCCTGTAAAGATTTACAGCCTCGGAAATCCTATGCAGGGTCACTATTAGTCAGAACTGACTCCATGGCACACTACCACCACCACCATATATTGTCTAATTTCTCTTTTGTCCCAATTGGGTAATTTATGTTGTTCTATCTTCAAGTTTTTCATTCTTTCTTCTTTTCTTCATCCTGTTATTGAGCCCATTCACTGAATTTTATGATCATATTGTTACTGTATTTTTCAATTGTAAATTTCCCATTTGTTCTTTATGTTTTTTTGTTGTTGTTGAGGCTTATTTTTCTTTTCATTTGCTTGAAGTGCAGTTTAATTGCTCCTTGGAGAATTTTATGACAGCTGCTTTAAAATATTTGTCATATATTTCTGGCATCTGTATTACCCTGGTGTTAGCATCTGTTGACTGTCTTTTCTCATTCAAGTTGAAAAATTCCTAGTTATTGCTATGGTGAGTGTTTTTCTATTAAAACATGCACATTTTGGATATCATGTTATGACATTCTAGATCTTATTTTTTTTTATTTCCTGTATTAGCAGGCCCTTTCTGACATCTCCCGATGGTGAAGAAGGTATTACTCCCTTACTGCTAGGTAGGGACAGAAACTCAGGTTCTCCACTGGGAATCTGGTTGACATCCAGGTGGAAGAGGCATTCTTTGCTACTGCTGAGAAGGAATGGGTGGTCAGCCTTTCCTATAGATCCCTGCTGAACTCAATCCAGCTATTAGAGGAAAGAATGTCTTGTTATCACAAGGTATAAGTCATATCTTCTCATATAGTCTATACTAGAAAGGGAAGGGTCTATTTATATAGTCTACACTAGAAAGGGAAGGGTCTATTTATGAAAGTCCTTGCTCCCAAATCATCCTTGTCTGGAGGGGGCACGCTTCTAAAGCTTGGTGAAAGTAAAAGTCTTGGCTCTCCTCTTGCTAATAACCTTATCAGCCATATTATTATTATAACAACTGGCTCAATCCCTATCTCCTAAAAAAACAACTGGCTCAAACCCTATCTCCTAAAAAGAATTGCAACATACCCCATCTTCAGCTCCTTGCCTCAGTCCCTCCACAGTATAGAGTTGGAGGAGGATGTCTGCAGGCAGACTGATTGGGTTCCTGTCACATTGTGGCACTGTGGGCTAATGCTCTGGATTACAAAGTCACTTTGAACCACAAGGTTGGCAGTTCAAGCTTACCAGTCGCTCCTCAGAAACTCTATACAGGGTCGCTATTGTATAAGTCAAACTGACTCAAAGCCACTTAACAACAACAACAACATGGCTCTGGGCAAGTCACTTGTAACCTCTAAGCCTCCATTTTTCCATCGATAAGAGAGGACACCCTACTTCTCAAAACTCAATAAATGACAACTGCCTTCCTTTCCCTCCTCTGCAAAAGGTGAGAAAAGCCCAACTAGAATATAAGAAACCACGGTCCTCACTACCACCACCACCACCAAGTGTGGCCTCACCCAGACAGACACTTCAAGCATAAAATCTCATGGACTAAGTCTTGTTTCTTAAAGGCACTTAACATTCCCCACATCCCCCTTCCCCTTTTTCCCACCCTAGGTACTGGAAAACACTCCACAGATATAGCCAACCAGGCAGGCCACCATCATAATGAAGATGGGAACTAATGATGGGATCTGTTTGGGGGCTCCACAGCTGAGAAGGAAGGTGAAGGAAGGCCTGGTGCCCCTACAATCAGTCTTCTAGAGTATATTGTATTCTGGGCAAGAATCACATTACCTCTAGTCAAAGAAGTTCTAGGGGCTTAGGGCGCCCTTCACCTTGGCACTTTAAAGTAGTTGCCAATATCCTAAGATCAGAGCAGCTACGGTCTCTCCAACACCTCCACCCACCTTCCAGAGAGCAGGATTGGTTTTAGCTAAGTTATGTGCAGCAGAGTGTGTTCTGACTCATAGTGACCATGTATAGGGTTTCCGAGGCTGTAGATCTTTATGGGAGTAGAAAGCCTTATCTTTCTCCCATGAAACTGCTGGTAGTTTCAAATTGCTGACCTTGAGGGTAGCAGCCCAACTCATAACCACTATGCTACCAGAGCTTCTGAGGACTGGATAGAAGAAAAACATGGTGAGTGAAAGCAAATCATACACTCTCACGAGCCCTGGCATCTCAGTTCCCCAAACTTCCGCCCACTGGATTACTCTGAACCCCCAGGCCCAAAGCCCTGGCAGCCACTACCATCCCAGAAGCACTGAAAGGGAGACTTTGGGTTTGGGGAAAGGAGGGGAAGCGCGACTCCCAAAGAGCAAGGAGTCAAAGACATTTTGTGGCCAGAAAAGTACTTTATAAAAATGCTGCCCCCTGACCCTCACTCCAAGAAGAAAAGAAAAAAAGCTGTTTTGGGATCAGCCCTGAGTGTTTCTGTGTTTTCTAGGGCAAATCTGGTCAAAACTGTCCATCTCTCTCACCAGAATTCTCAATTGTGACACTCCTTCCCTAGCCCTCCATTCTCTCTCTCCCTTGAAGTCCCTGATGAATGAGCCACTCCCCTTTCCCCGGTTCTCCCCTCCCCCACACCCTGCAAGTAGTCCAACAACAGATACTTTCCACCCCGTTTTCAACCCATTCCTGCGGAGAGAGATTCTAGGGGGTGAAAAAGAAAGGCAGGTTTAGAACGTACCACTTACCTGATCTCTTTAATGCTTTCCAATTTGCACATGATTTCTTGTTCATCAGCCATGCTTTTCACTCTCAATTACAGGTCCCGAGAATTGTACAAAAACACTAGCTAAGGGATACAATAGACACAACGTAGCCACCCTCCTCCCGGCACCGGGCAATGAGCCTGTGCGGTAAGAACTTGGAGAAGACCTGGGAGCTGTAGTCTTTAGCGCTAGAGCCAGCCAGGCAGCCTGGGAGCCAGTAGGACTACAACTCCCAGAAGGCCAAACGAGACACTCCTTCTCTTCCCATAGCTGCACGTTGAATCAATTTGTTATAGATGATTATTTCCAAGGTAGTTAGCAATGCTAGGGACCCGGGAATATTTAGCAGGCCCATGTGCGGGGGAAAATAAACTCTAAAAGGCAACTGCTGGGGAGATGAAAGGTACACTCATACACACCCTTCTGGCGGCCCTCACATTTATTCAGCCTCCCCCACCCCCAAAGATTAAAGGGAGCCACTAATTTGTCTAGGGAGTCCTGCTGTGGCGCTGTGGGCTAATGCCTCAGACTGCAAAGTCATTTGAACTGCAAGGTCAGTGGTTCAGCTTCTTGAAAACCTTATACAGATAGGGTCGCTATGGGTTGGATGGCACTTAACAACAACAACAACAAATTTGTCTATGGAGTCCTAGTGTGGTGCGCTAGAATAAACACTCGACCATAAGGTCGTTTTAAACCAAAAGGTCAACTGTTACAACTTATCAACCGCTCCTCAGAAACCCAATACAGGGTCGCCAGGAGTCGGACTACTGGACAGCACTGAACAACAACAAACAATTTGTCTATGCCATGAAGCTAGAGGAGGAACCTTATTGGTACAGTGGGTTAAGCACTGGGCTGCTAACTGCAAGTTGGAACCCAATTGTTCCCTGAGAGAAAGATGGAGCTGTTTGCTCCCATAAAGATTTACAGTCTTAGAAACTCTATGGAACAGTTCTACTCTGTTTTAACGGGTTAGTATCAAATTCATGGTAATAAGTTTAATGTAGTGAGGCTAGAGAATACCTGCAGGGGAATTCACTTCTGAAATGAGTGTTCTGGCCACTGTTTTAGGTACACGAGATGAGGGTGCGAGGTGAGGGTGGGATAGGGCAGGAGAAGAGGGGAAAGGAGGGAGGAGGGCCTACTGAAAAAGCAAGAGATTCAGTGGAGTGAAGTTCTTCCTTGCAACTATACATCCATTACTAAGGTCAGACTTTACCAGTCAATGACCTAAATACTGAAGGAGGCTCCTGTTATTGTTATTATGTGCCTTTGAGTCGGTTCTGATTCACAGTAACCCTATGCAGGTTTTCCAAGGAGAGATTGGAGGGTTTGAACTGCTGATATTGGGGTTCAAATTGATCTTGCAGTTCAGTACTTGTTCTACAACACCAGACCAGGATTCCAAGAAGGCTGCTAGGCAAAGATTATTAAAAGGATGTACTTGCTTTTAAGGAGCAGGAGAGGTATAAACATACCCCCAACCTCAATCCCCCTGCCCATCCCCCCCAAAAAAAGTTGCCATGAGTTGATTCCAACTCAATGATCCCATAGAACAGAGTTGTTCTTGTTGTTGTTAAGTGTTGTCGGGTCGGTTCCGACCCATAGCGACCCTGTAGAGGGTTTCCGAACATTAGAAGTGAATCCCTCCCCTCTGTACACAGGGTAGACAGCGATGGGCAACTTAGATATTGGCTACCTAAAATGAGGGGCAATAAAGGCACCAAGTGACTGGCTTACAAGGTTTCAAGAGTGAGTTTAGTTTAGGAGTGTGTAGGGGAAGAAAGAGTCCCCACTGAGTAATCTTCATCTTGTCTGAATGGGTCTGGTGAAAAGAGACGGGGATAAGATTCTTAGGATTCAATAGTGAGTAATAGTTATCATGACTAATTGCAACTATCACAGTTGTAAAGGTAGAAGTTTTGTATCAAAAACGGGGGAGTAGTTAATCTTACAGTCCAGAAACAAAGAACCCTAGGACCATCACTGGAGAAGGACACAAACGGAATGTGAGAGCTTATCCAGAGAAGCAGCAATACCAGAGATGGAGGCAGAGATAGGGACATGGAGAGAGGGAACAGCTGAGGACATGAAAAGAGGGAGACTGAGATCTGGCAGCCAGGAGGCAGACTTTCAGAATGTGCCCTTTGGTGGCGTAAATTATTATATATACCTGAGTGTTAAAAAAAAAAAGAGCTAAAGAGAGAAATATTGTTATCTGGTATCTGATAACAGATAATGGAGAGGATTATAATCATTGTAATGAAATAAATTATATGGTTTGTTGAATGTAAAACTGATGATCTGCCCTGTACACTTTACTCAATTCACAATAAAAACTTTAAAAAAGAAAAAAAAGCTAGAAAAATATGTGCTGAAAAAAAAATCTTTATGGGAGCAGACACCCTCATCTTTCTCAGACAGAGGGCTGGTGGGTTCAAACCACTGACCTTTTTTGGTAGTAGCCCATCATTTAGAGTGAGGCACCAGGAATTGCAATCCTTGTACAAAGTACTGAGGAAGGAGGCACAGAGATTAGCCCAGCACCCCAAGTTAAACTAGCTCCAGGAATGGGTAGAGATCTAGAGAGGCCCAAGCCACTGGAGCCTTGCCATTGTCTTCTGCCTGCCTTGCATGGTTTCCATCTTCTAAGAGCTTTCCATGGCTGCAGAAGTTCCTATGGATCCTGCCCTGGGTGGTGTGACCTTTGAGGATGTAGCCATTGACTTCTTCCTAGAGGAGTGAGGGTTCCGCTGTACTGCAATGTGATGTTGGAGAACTTTGCGATCATAGCCTCCCTGGGTTCTTGGCACAGAACAGGAAATGAGAAGACGTCTTCTAAGCAAAATGTTTCTGTAGAAGGAATATCACACGTCAAGACTAAAAAGTGAGGTTTATTCACCCAGAATACTTACCCCTGGAAATTGGGTATCCTATTCTTGAAAGACATTTTGCACCTGAGCAAACAACACATCCTGGGAAAAATTCATGTTTGGGAAAGGCATGGGGGAGATATTTCTGGATGAATACAACTCTTCACCAGCACCAGCAATGCCAGAATAGAAAGAAACTCTTCAAAAATTATGTGGACCGGACCTCATTTATGAAGAGCTGAGAATTCCACATGTCAGGACAACCCTTCACCTGTGAGGAGGTTGGGAAGGACTTCTCAGTAACCTCAGGCCATCTCCAACACCAGGCCAAACCTAAGAGTGAGAAGTAACCCAGCAGTCTTGATTGTGGGGCGACTTTCATAGTGGAAAAAGACTTTGTAAGTGGGGGAAATGCAGGAAATCTCCCATTCACAAGCACACACTTGCTCACCTCAAGAGGGGCGTTATGAGGGTAACAAATGTGAGAATGCTGTCAGCTGCAATTAGAGATGGGTTCAGCACCAGGAAATGCACACTGAAGAAAGGCCATATGAGTGTGGTGAATGTGAAAATGTTTACTCATTTACCATCAGAGTTCATACTGGAGAAAGGCCTTATAAGTGTCAGGAATGTGGGAAACCCTTTAGCGATTCCTTATCCTTCATTCAACATTGGCAAATTAACACAGGAGAAAAGTCTTACAAGTGTGGCAAATGTGGGAAATTCTTTACCCAGGGAAGTCACACTGGAGGAAGTCAACACAGGTCTCTTGGTGTGGAAATGTAGGATCAGCAGTTCAAACCCACCAGCTGCTCCTCGGAAACTCTAGATAGGGTAGCTATGAGTCAGAACCAACTCTATGGCACTTAACAATAAAGTAAATACAAGAGAATTCTCACTCTAACCATGTTGTATGAGTGTGATGAATGTGGGTAATCCTTTAGCCTTAGCCAACGGAGAGGTCAGCCTCCTTTACCACCAGAGAGGTCACACTGAGCCTTGTGCATTTGAGTGTGGTGATTGTGGGAAATCCTTTAGATACAGGTGTTTATTCATTTATCACCAGAGAATTCACACTGGGGAAAAGCCTTTTCAGTGTGTGGAATGTGAGAAATCACTTTTCAATTGCTCAGTCCTCATTCAACACTACAGAGTTCACACTGGAGAAAGGCCTTAGATGTGCAGGGAACGTGCTCTTTCATTGTTTAGAATAACACCACCTGAGAAGAGACTTTGTGAGGTACTGATCTATATAAATTGATCCTCCTACCTTCAAACAAAGAAGCTCTGGTAGCGTAGCGGTTATAAGTCAGGGTGCTGATCTTAAGGTCATCGGTTCGAAACTGCCAGTGGTTCCATGGGAGAAAGACGAAGCTTTCTGCTCCTATAAAAATTTACAGCCTCAGAAACCCTATACAGGGTTGCTCTGAGTCAGAACCGACTCCATGGCACCACCTTCAAACATTCACAGAGGGCAGATTCCCCCATGAATTATAGGTATGTGGGAAGTCTGCAGGAGTTATATTGCATTTTATAGAATTCTCAGGACCCTTGCCAGATTTTTGTCACAACATGAACAATTTCACCTCTACCATCAGACAAGTTCCCAACCCACGGTGTTCAGGGAGGCAGACCCATATGCTTGCCTTTTTGCTGGAGGAAATTGTAAGAAACATGATCCCCTAGGAGGTCCTCATTTCCTTCTTTCTGATAAGATAAGGCCTGGACTTGACCCAATTTTTCCCCAGAGGACATGATGTGAGTTGTGGCATCTTACTAAAAAGACTATCGTATTCAAGGAGCTCTGGTAGCGTAGTGGTTACGAATCGGGCTGCAAACCGCAATGTCAGCAGTTCAAAACTACCAGCTGTTCCGCGGGAGAAAGATGATGCGTTCTGCTCCTGTAAAGATTTACAGCCTCGGAAACGCTGTACAGGGTCTTTATGAGTCGTAACCGACTCCACGGCACACATCCACCACCACCATACAGGGATATTTTTAGTCTCACATGACTTTATGCTCCTGTAAAGATTTACAGCCTCGGAAACGCTGTACAGGGTCTTTATGAGTCGTAACCGACTCCACGGCACACATCCACCACCACCATACAGGGATATTTTTAGTCTCACATGACTTTATGCTCCTGTAAAGATTTACAGCCTCAGAAACCCTATACAGAGTCGATGAGTTGAAAGCAACTACACAGCACACCACCACCACCATATCTCTTCTGGACTCCTGGTGTGGCTATGTAGAATAAGTGCTAG